CTTGGATGACTACAAATTTAGCTAGAGAATTAATGTAATTTTTTGTTAACTATAAAATTTAAAACTAATATTGATTTTATTATATAGATTCAAGAAAATATAAAATTTGATGACGTAAATTACATCTAGAACAAACAAATAAACATTTACAAGATCTCATAAATTTATATTTATATTGATGAATTAATTGAGTAAAAAAATTTCTTCCTTTAATATTCATGTGATGAACTAGAATCATTGTTTTTTTTCCTAATAACGGAGATTTTTTCTGGATTATTATACCATTTGAAACGGTTCATTTGTCGTTTTCCACATTTAAAGCGACCAACACATATGAAAAATATAGTAGATAGCCATATTGCTCGAGGATGTCTTCTCATATTTGGACTTTGTAATAATGTTAACGCAGCATCAATATTTTGTTGTATACAACCCATATATATTGTCTTAAGGTAGAAAGCACCATTGTTACCATATATAATTGTTAAATAAAAAAATTCACTGTATAATCTCTCCAATTCTGAGAAAAAAATTGTTGGCATCTTCACTAAATTTTTATATTTAAAATTGATTAAAACTTTTCCATTTTCAAGATCATTCCAAAAATCTTTGGTTAAATGAAGAATTAGAAGTTTTTCTTCAATATTAAAAAAGTGTATGTTTAGAAATAATTTAGACAGTAAAGAATTTGATTCCATTTGTTTTGAATTCATCGTAAAACAAATAATCGTTATAGGAAGACAAAAAATTAGAATTTCGAAAAGAAAGACAATATATAGAGTTGAATGTTGGGTATGTTTCTTCAAATTGTTTTGGGCCTTATGTTTTCGAAATGGACTCTATAATCCACGTTGGTTTTGTGATAATTAAGCTTTGATAAAATCTCTTTCTTCACAAAAAGGAAAAAGTCAAAATCGTGACTGCAACTTTTTCTCACCGACTTTGCAACGTTGAGGAAGAAGTGGCATTATGAGAGTAAGATTTGGGGGCTGAAATCTCTCGTGAATAGTTGAGATTTGTGCCTATATAAGAAGGACTTTGGTCTTTGATCAGATGATGAAAAACTCACTCTCTTCTTCCATCTTCTTCTTCTTCCTTTTTATTTCAATTTCTGGGTTTGAGAAGTTCATCTCTTTTGAGTTAAGTGCACAATTCAATTGAGAGCAGAGTGAACCCTAGAGTGAGCCGTCTTGGCTATCTTGCACCCGGGATTAGGCGGTTTTTTGCTCAAGTGCAGTAGATTCTCTACGGCTCTGCAACTTTCGTTCTTCCTCAATTCTGGTTTCTAAGTCTTATTTCCAACATTGAAAAGGCGCGATTTTACAATTATTCGATAAGTCCATAGACGAACGTGTCCGTTACAGCTTTAATGTGTGGGGCTCATTTCACTCACGTATGTCCAAATTATTTAAACTTCTATATTATTGTTTTCCCATGATATCACGTAAATGTTAAATGAATGATATAATTAAGGAGGTTATACTACAAAATATATTAAGGAGGTTATACTACTAAATATATCCATATGTAAACTATGAAATAAAACCATTTATGTAGTTTATTGGTTTACGTAAAAAGAAATTCAATCAAACAACATGACCGTACAAAAATAACTGTAAGAAAAACAACCAAAAATATTTAAACGAAAGGTTGCAATAAAAAGACGCAACCGTTCAGATGTGCAAATGGTATTTATTGGAAAAGACATAACCGTAAAAAAAATAACCGATTAAAACGAAAATTGCGATAAAAAGACGCAACCAAAATAACCGTAAAAAAATAACCGATTTAAACGAAAGGTTGCGATAAAAAGACGTAACCTTTCAGATGTGCAAATGATATTTATTAGATTGCTATTATATATATATTTCTCGTTTCACATAGTTATAGAGAATCCTGTGCTTGTGCTTGTTGCTAGTGGCTCGTGGGGAGCAAGCATTTAAGCATCATGGGTCAGTGCTTGTGTCTACGAGCTCGAGCACACATTCCAAACTTAACACCAAAAAAAAAGAGAAAAAAAAGCTAGAGTGAATCATTGAGTACATTTGTTTTAATTTTTTTTTTTGTCATATCACTTAAGTAAATAGTCATTTCAAAATATTATGATTAAAAAAGGCTATATTAATTGATATGCATGGAGGATTGCAAAATTAAAAATCTATCCATACTTATTTTTTTATTAGTTCTCTTTCCTCTGACTCAATTAATACCAAAAATACCCTTTGTTAGAATTAAATGCTAACAAAAATAATAACAAGATAAATAATTTAGTGTTAACAATAAAAATAACATTGTTCATTTGTTATCGGAAACACTATCTATCATCAGAATCAATAAGGAAACAATGATTTTTGTAGTTATCTATTTGATTAACAATGTAAATCAAATTGTATCACGATAAATAAAAACTAAAACACTGTTCGGCCAACATCAAAAACACTATTCATCACGAGATAAAATAAAAAGATAATGATTTTGCTGATTATTTATTTGATTAGCAATATAAATCAGATTGTATCGCGATAACTTTTCAAGTTATATGATAAATTTATATTTATCATGTTAAATTATTTATTATCTGATTGATATCAACTAACTTATATATTGACATGTTTATTTATTTCAACAATTTATTTATTACCGTTAACTTATGCATTACCATCATTAACTTATGCATTAACATATTTATTTATCGTGATAACTTGTTTATCACGGTTAACTTATGTGTTATCGTGGACGTAAAAAACAATAAAATTTCATTCTTCTCGGGTATCCTCCTCTGTCGTCATTCTTCCAAATTTTCTTCTTCTTTCATTGTCACCTGCAACTCCAACCCATGTTCACCTGCAAATTTCCTTTTTATTTCCTTTATCTTCGTCCTCTCCATCTTCACTTTAAATTACAAAACTATAATTTTCATCCCAAAATTCTTCAAATTAAAAGTTTAATCCATCCAAACTCATGTAAGTTCTCTCTATTTTTATGAATCGTTTGGTGATAATTGCCCGTCACAAAAAATGCTGCGATTATACTAGTATAGATGGAGAATTGGATATAAAATCTGTTTGAAAAAAATGGAAGTGACGATGAAGAAAGAAGATGATTTGGAAAGAGGAGGATTTGGAAGAAAGACAAATAATCAAGTGTTTAGAAAAAGGGTAAAATGGTAAAAACATTATTCTCTCTCTTGCTCACTTAATTAATAAAAAAGCATGCATACAGACTTAATTGATATTTGCCATTAAAAAACAAGAGAAAACTATACAAATAGCGTGGTATTATTATGAGTCAATTAGCTGTATGCTAATTATTTGAGAAATAATTAGCTTGTACATACACAACTTTTATTCTTTGCAAAAGAAGAGAGAGAAATCTTTGGTTTTGAAAAAATCGGACAAATTTACCCCTGGAATAAGATACATGTGTATTTCCCGATATATCATTATATATCATGATATATAATAAAAAAGAGAATGGTTAGAAAAACCAGAAACTGATGTTGGATCATAAAAAACCAATCAATCTCTATGACGACTCTGCAAATAATCCTCCAACTCAAGATCAACACCAACACGATTCAAGACATTATCTTCTACTTATTCTCAAGTTCCTTAAACCTCTCAACATCAAACTTATGACTCTTAAGCAACTTCCTCTGCCTAGAAAGAAACAACCTTTTCATGAAATCTTGATATGTTGGGTCTCTTGAAGTCATCAAGAAATAAGCATAACCCACAATAATCCCAGTAGCTGTAGTGAAAAACGTTATTTGTTCTTAGCGTCGTCGGTTGACGGTGTCTCAAATCATATCTAACAGAAGCTCAATAATAACGAACGACATCCAAACATACGACGTCTCTATATCGAAATTTTTTAAAGATTTATTGAGTTTATTTTAATCAGAAAAATGCGACGAGTTTAATGAATTCAAAATATCATAATTTTAGATGCAATCAGTTTCACAATTAAGAAGAATCATTTGTTTGGGGTTATCATAAAGTAAAGAAAAAAGAAAAAGAAAAAAATAAATAATAAAAGTAAAGAGAAACAAAGAAGGAAGGAAGAAAAAATGAAGTGTTTGATTTTAGGGGTATTTTAGTCTTTTTATCTGTTTTCAGTTGATCATTTATTTATAGGTTTGCCACTTCTCATTTGACTTAAATACTTCTCAGTCTTAGGATATGTAGTGTAATTACTCTATTATTATTGCCCTTATTTTAATGACTAATCTCCAATGTATCATCGTAGGCTCCATGTTAGCTGTCATGACTTTTGACTTTCTTCCTTCAATGATCTGAACTTGATACAGCTATGGGAATCAATTTTTTTTTTTTTTTTTTTTTTTTCAGGATAGTTATTTTCTATTATTTATTTAAAAAAGAAGAAACCTTACATGTTTAGTGTTAGAAGAGCAAATATGCAAAATTTTAACTATCATATCGCATCTCATTTTTAATCGATAACAAACCTTCATCAATATACTTTTTATAAACTCTATGTTTCGTCCACCTATTTTATAAACAGTTAAAAACTTAATGAATAGTAATAACTATAACGTGATAAAAAAAAAAAGAAAAAAAAAGTAATAACTATAACATGACGCTGTAACTAAATTAAACACAAAATTTAGAATCATAGATTTTAAATTTATTTACAAAATTAAATGTTTACGTAAAATTTAATGTGCTACAAACAAAGTTATTTATATATCCCATGACAATTAAAAAAAATTGTATAAATATATTTATACCGTATTATTATCATTTTCTTAATTTATCTCTAAACTCTAAAGTGTTGTCATCTTATATATATATTTAGGTAATAGTTTAAATATTATGATAAGAAACGAGAGAGGACTAAACAAAAGCCACTTGAATTATTTTTTGATTAATGTCGAAGGCATCATCGTCGGCTCAATGTTAGCTGTCATGAATTTTACGTCGTCATTAATTATTACAAATTTACAATGATATAAAATCTTCTTTTATCTTGAGGGCAACATTTTCTGTTATTTAATTAAAAAGGAAAGAAAACTTGATTGCGAGAGAGTAAGAAGAGCACAGATAAGATGTCATACAAAAACTTAGCGGGACAATCGATATAGTTTAAATTAAACAAAGACTAACTATTTGTATTACTATATATAGATTATTATCAACGTCAATATCAATGTATTTGATAATATAGCAAGTAGCATTGATATAATTAAGAGTATGTAGAAGAACAACTATATTGATTCATTATTACACGAAACCAAAAGTGCTATTACCCCAAACAATAACTTGCATTCTCTCCATCTCTGCTAACCGCAACAGCCATGACTTATGTGCTAGAAGGACACGAGCATCGTGTATCCGACGTTAACGAAGGTTTTGAATGCGATGCTTGCAATCGATCGTACGGTGGTGGCTACTCATGTGGTGAATGCAAGTTTACGGTACACAAGAAATGTGTATTCGTATTCAAGATACAAGCGAGAATCGACCACCCTTCTCATGATGGACATTGTCTTGAGTTTCTCACAACCGGAGCTCCTGATAACACAGACCCGAAATGCCATCTATGCGGTAAAAACACGAAGCGCCTTCTCTATCATTGCTCTGATTGTAAACTCAATTTGGATATTGATTGCATAATTGATTCCCTGTGTTCTCGATCCGATCTGAATATGGAGTGGCATGACCATCCCCTACTCATGGTTGATTTTAAAGCTTCTCTTATGTCCTGTGACTTTTGTCATGGCACTAGCAAACATGGATATTGCTGTCCTCGTTGCAGGTTGGTGATTCATGAGGGATGTGTCTCCGTATTTGAATCACCAGAGATTACTCACCCTTCTCATGTCAGACACCCTCTTAAGCTTATCGCCAGTGGAGCTCCAGATTACACGGACCGAAGTTGTCATATATGTGGAGACACTACTGGGAACTTACTATATCATTGTGATATCTGTAAGTTCAACTTGGATCTGGATTGTGCGATTGAAGGCCCTCCACCAGTTGCTCTTTCAAATATGAAGGTCCATAAGCATACACTCACACTCATGCCAAAGTTGATCTCCTTCGTTTGTGATGCTTGTGGGACGAAAGGAGATCGTTCTCCTTACATCTGTGTTCAATGTGATTTCATGATCTTCCATCAAAAGTGTGCTCGTTTACCACGTGTCATTCATGTTAATCACCATGACCACCGTGTTTCCTTCAAGTATTCTCTTGGTCCTGGAGAATGGAGATGTGGAGTTTGTTGGGAAGAGATTGATTGGTCATATGGGGCTTATATCTGTTCCATTTGTCCTTGTTATGCTATTCATTCACTATGTGCCACAAGGAGAGACGTATGGGATGGGAAAGAGCTTGATGGAGTACCTGAAAAAGTTGAATATATCGAACCATTCAAGAGGAATGATGACAACACAATCACTCATTTCGCTCATCAACATAACCTCATGAGCCTCGGTAAAGGTGGTGAAGAAAGTAGCTTGTGTGGAGGATGTGTTTGTCCCATCGGTTCTTGCACATTCTACAAGTGTTCAGAATCAGATTGCAGTTTCATTCTCCATGAAACGTGTGCTAATCTACGTAAGAAGAAACGACATTTTCTGAGCCCACAACCTCTCACTCTTTGTCTCCGAAGTTACCCCCTCTCAGATGTTTGCGAAGCTTGTCATCAAGTTTTTTACCGAGGATTTAGCTACTCTACATATTTAAGAAAACACTTGGACGTACTTTGCAGTTCGATTACTGTGCCTTTCATCCATGGAAGTCATGATCATCATTTACTCTACCTCAAACAACGATTCGGTGACGTGAAGACTTGCCCGGGCTGCGACATGGATGAGACAGACGTTGTCATAGGTTGTATGAAATGCGATTACTTTTTGGATTTCCGTTGTGCCACTCTACCATTAACGGTAACGCTTCCCAGGTACGATGATCATCCACTCACTCTATGTTATGGTGATGGAAAGGCAAGCGGCAAATATTGGTGTGATATTTGCGAAAGAGAAACAAATCCAAAGACTTGGTTCTACACTTGTAAAGATTGCGGGGTCACTTTACATATCTTTTGTGTAGTTGGGGATATCAGATACGCCAAAGACGGAAAAAGTATGGGCTATTATACGGCCACTTTGCTCTCTAACAATAGCTCTTCACGGCCACTTTGCCACAATTGCCTCTGTCGTTGCCCAGGTCCCTTCATTCTTAGGGTAATAAAGTGGAGCTCTAGTGAAAAAGGTGAGAAAAAAGGGTTCTTTTGTTCTTATTATTGTTTCACAATCTCGGGGTACTACGACAAAAGTAAGGACTCCAAGATTAAGTTGAGATGTCCTCCTTGGACAATTGGACATCAAATTCAATTGATGGAGTAGTAAAACCATCAATAATACTAGTACGGAGAACATCACTTAGAAATAAATGATTTATGTTTTCTTTCTCTTTATTTTAGTTATGTTATTTGTGATGTAAAAAAAAAAATTATGTTATTTGCTTCATTTAGAAACAAGAGGAGAATCGGTTCTCCTGGTTTAGGAGCCATCTCTTCCATTCATTTTCCTTGCTTGTAGTTGTAGGAGCTACGGCTCCGCTTTGCTTCCACTTTTGTCTATTTATAAAAAAAAAACGAAAAACCCAAAATAGGCAATTTTAATTGCTAGACAAAGTGTCATTGTGTTCTTGTTATAAAGCTTTGGTTAAGATCAAAGCTAATTAATACTTGGCTATTGATGTTCAAGTTTGAAACTCATCTAAGAGCATGTGCAATGCAAGTCTCTCAACAAAGTCTCTAATATATAAAAGTAATAATAAAATAAGAAATAATATTATTTAACTATGTGAGTCTCTAAAAAAAGTGGAGAGAGTCTCTCATAGGAGAGACTTTGAGAACCTCTCTCCACTTTTTTTAGAGACTCATATAATTAAATATTATTATTTTTTATTTTATTGTTATTTTTATAGTTGAGAGACTATGGTAAGAGATTTGCATTGCACATGCTCTTAGATTTTATTTTATGAAATTTGCCTACAATGACTCTAATCTTAACTAAGATAACTTAAATGACACACGGTTGATTTTGTTTACTAAACTAACCCATATTTTTGGTACAAAGTCTAATCTTATTGGGTAATAGAAATCACAAACATGCCATTCTTTAATTAATTAAAACCAGAACCCAAAATAAAACAAATAATCAAATAAAGAAAGACATTTTGACATTTACTCCATCGTCTCCGACGATTCACTAAAAACAAAAACCCTAATTTTCTCTCACAGTCGCCGTCGTCTCTCTTCTGTCTCTCTCCGTCGAAATCTTCTATCCAGATGCATGTCAAAATCTGTCCTCGACGTCGAGTCTCCGGCTGTCATTGATTCTGTCGTTTGAGTGACCGGCAATTCAGATCTGTGTCGGTTTGTCGTTGGTTTGGTTTGGCAATCGACTTCGTTCTAGGTACGTAAACTCTTAAACCGTGTTCTTCTCTTCTCTTGTACTCGTGTTTCTTAAAATCCGATTGAAAGATTTTGATACCGATTGAAGATTTTGAAAACCGTGTTCTTCTCTTGTCTTGTATTCGTGTTTCTTAAATCGGCTTTGTTTTTTTTTTTTTTTGCAGATCTTTAGCCTCAATTCGTTCCGGTGATTGTTAATTCGTTATTGAACAAGGAATTAGGGCAATTTCATCACATTAGTTATAAATTAAAGCATCCCTTTCCAGAGTACAAGACACTGTTTTTGTAAAACTTAGAATGAGTTTGTGAAATCGAATTTTGCTAATCAAAAACTGTCAATGTTGCTTTCAATTTTGCTTTCAATTTTTTTTTGCAGATCGAGCACCATCATCTCAGTAGCTACATTGTTCTTCCGGTTTCACCTAATTTCGTCGGAATTGTTGAATTGTTTTTGTAAAATTTGTTTCCACATTTTCGATTTATATGAGCACAGATTTCGTTGAAGTTCTCACAGATTTTTCACGTTTTGGTTTGATGCAAATTGCTATTTATCCTCTATTTTGCGGATTCAAAAATTTTACAAACTTTTCTTCCCGCCTCTGTTTTTTGTTTTTGGTTTTTGCTTTTGCCTGTTGTTATCGCAGATTTATTGAATGTCTGCATTTCTTAAGTGACAGACTTTTAGGAATTTTGTGACAGATTTTTCAGTGACAGACTTTTTGAAATTTTGTGACAGATTTTTCAGTGACAGATTTATAAGTGACAGATCTTTAAGTGACAGATTCTTAAGTGACAGATTTTTAAGTAAAAGCTTTAAAAATCATGGTTTTTTTTTTTCCGTTTATGTGATTAGGAATGGTGTCTTCTAGTCAAATTCTCAAGTACCCTCCTCGACTGTCTGAAGAAGGAAAATCACCTTTGCAAAATAGAATCATGAACCACAACTGCTATTTTTCTCAAATTGGGAAGATCAGAGAAGGATTAGGTCCAGATGTGTGGGATGATTTGATGAAATCAACACTTGGAGTGTTTATAAAATTGGCTGATGCTGAATACACATGGGCTGCCCAAACCGTTCATTACTTCCTCTCAAATCAGCTGCGAGTCGAAAACGATCACGAGATTTGGTGTTTGATTGATCAAAGGCCAATCGGATTTTCTCTTTATGACTTTGCGGACGTAACGGGGCTCAATTGTGATGTTATTGACGAGTCAGACACATGTGAAGCTGCTTGCCATGAGTTCTGGAATGAAATGGGTGTTGGAACGTCCGATGGTCCTATGTTTACTGAGTTGGAGAAGGTAATGGATATTAGCAAGGCATGGAGTAAAGAGAAGAGGATGATGGTTGGTAGGTTTATGCTTGTTATCTGTTGGAGTTCATGGGATTCATCACGGTTCTAGAATCCCGTTGTCAAGTGTTAAAAGAGTTCTTGATCCAGTTGCTTTTGAGAAATATCCTTGGGGTTGAGTGGTATTTCAGTCCCTACTTAAGTAAGTGAAGATTGTTGATTTAAAGCAATATACTTATGTGATTCATGGATGCGTCCATGCCTTGTCGATATGGATTTACGAGAGTGTGCCTGGATTGGCAGCAGGATATTGATTTAAAAGGGAAACAACGACATGTACTCCATTACTTGATTGGAGATCTTCTCGCAAACGTATCAAGTTTAAAGACTTTATTGCCAATGAGAAGACTGCCCATGGACAGGTATTTTAACATGCTGCAGCTTTTCTCTCTAATGTTTTATTTACTTATTTGGCTTCAGTTTTTTTCTCTAGTATAACTAGTTAACTTGATTATGTTTTTCAATAAAGACTGAGACTTGATTTTATTAAAATCTGAAACTGTTTTGCATTTTGATTATTTAAATGTTATGTGCAGGTGCGTGTGAGGCATATGATGCCAGTCACTGAGGAAAACATGTATCCTGAATGGAGTGACGCGGCTGACAATCAAGATGGGCTGCTTGACAACTTGCTGAAAGACATCATCCACAATCGTTTACAAAATGATGCGTGGAAACATGTTAGAAAGCAAAGGAAGAAACGTAAGGTTTCTAGAAATGAGGATGGAGAGAGTAGTATCATTCCTAAGGAAAAGAGAATGAAGGAGTCAAAGGCTAGTGATGATGAAAGAGCAGAAGTATCTAACAAGGAGCAGCATTGTCTTTGTTCCGCAGAAGGTTCTTGCGTGATCCTTCAAAATACCCTAATCAACGCATCGCTTTCTTGGATCAAGATTTGATCTCGAAGTTGTTGAAAGATTATCCACAGTTTGAACTGAACTATAGGAACTTCACATGGCAGAGCTATTATGAGCAACACGTGAACGGTACAGCTTATGGTGACGATAATACAAACAAGAAGTGGTTCGTTGATGTGGATCACCTCTATGCGTATCTCTTCGTCAATGATAATCACTGGGTGGCCTTGGATATTGACTTGCCGAAACTTCAGATCAACATTTATGACAGCATTCCGACCTCGACTACTAATCCACAACTGGTCGAGCAATGCATGTTCTTAAAGAGGATGATCCCAGCAATGTTGACTGCATTTGTTCATGTACACTTGCGTAAGAAGAGCTACGCAAGGTTGGGAGATAAGAGAATTGAAGACGTCCCCAAGAATGACGATGCAGACGATTGTGCTATCTACTCAATAAAGTACATCGAATGTTTGGCGCTTGGGAAGTCATTCGATGGCTTGTGTGACAAGAACATGCAGTCCCTCCGGACTAAACTTGCTGCGGAGATGTTTGACGAATTAGGAGAGTATGCCGGAACACTTAGCTCTGATGTTCGTCGCACGTACTTCCCTATACCTCAGCTCGATGATTCCTAGTAGCTTTGTTTCTATTTTCTCAGACTTTTTTATTTAGGTTATGTCTGTTGTTTCAGACTTTTGCTTTTTTGGAAGCTTTGGTTATGTTGGTTGTTTCAGCTCCATGACATTTTTTATGTTGGTTGTGTCAGACTTTTCTTTGTTACTTATGTCAGACTTTTATATAGGTTGTCTCAGACTTTTATATTACTTTTCTCAGACTTTTATACAGGTAGTAGCAGACTTTTATATAGGTTGTCGTAGACTTTTACGTAAATTGTTGCAGATTTTTATATAGGTGGTAGCAGACTTTTATATATGCTGTCGCAGACTTTTTGTGTAGGTTATTGTGAAAGGAAATCCTAAAATACTTGCACCAAACGCAAGAAACAAATACTCAAATTTGTGAGTTTCATCAACTTCAAGTCGCGTGAAGGTTCCTGGATTTTCCCTCCTTAGCATGTACAAGTATACCGGGAGCTGCTCGTATCCACTTTCTGAACTACTCCTAACCAATTCTCGAGCAGATCTTAATGTCCGATAAGCCTTCCAGTAATCCATCTAACCAAATGTAATTTAAATAGTTATTTAAAGGAAACAATGACGTGTAACTGGTCCAAAAAACCTGATCAATGTATTGGTAATCGTACCTTGATTAGCCATCGTTTATTAAAACTTCAGCAACGTGCATTGGCAGAACCTTAAGTCCAATCCCACCTACGTAATCTTTGTATAGTAATCCTAGTATATCGTGAGTAGCTTGTCGGGAACGTGATGAGCGATCTGTAATAGAACAAGTATGTTCCAAAACAAGCACTCTTACTTGAAACTTTGGATACTAGTCAACTGGTGTTGCTCGCACCCTCCACTGACACCCTTTAACCCATCACTTGACAATTAATATTGTTAAAGTCGATTTAGCAACATCAAAGTCAAATTTCTGTAAAACGGTAACCCATCTTCAAACGTGTCTCCAAGTCTTCTTTTGTTTCAAAACATTGACCAACTGCCAATTCCAATGAGGACACTTCTAGCGTAGCATAAGTAGCTTCTTCCTTTTCTTCTTCTATATATATACCTAAACTCCTCTTCTTGATTGGTAATTTAGGTTTTTCTTCTTCTTCTGGTGGAATCCCATAGAGGCTAAAGTCCTCATCATCAGAGTCGGTGCCGTCGGAATCATCACAGTAATCAAATCTACTTTCGTCATCGTCACCATCTTCAGCTGCATTAGTCACTTGTTCTTCTTCCACGTGTGTATTTGGTACATGAATATTTTCCTCTACCATACCGTATACATTACGTGGCTGTGTATTCGGTAAATTGCAGTTACCAAAACCACCTATGCCTTCCTCTTTTGATTCAACAGGTTCTTTCTCTTTCACTTCAACACAAAGTTGAACAGTAGCATTCTTCGTTTGGCCCAAAAAAGACTGAAATTGTCTATTGTTACCAATAATTACGGGTGGTGTATCTGCTGGTAATTTCTTTGAATTTGAGATCTTGTAATTCAAAAGAACTTTGACTACGCTGTTATCCAAGCCGTAGTCCTCATACACCATTGGAATGAAATCATCATAACTGGTTTGACTATTAACTTCGAGTACGCGATAACCTTTACTATTATCAACGACAAAAAGCCACTTCGTTTTCTCAAAGATCCATTTTCCACACACGAGAATCACCTGATCCATGCCCAATTCCGTGGACTTCGATCTCACAGCAATCAAAAGGAAGAAAAACAAAAAAAATATGGAACGACACTCAAATAGGAGGAGAGGGATGAAATCGTGAGGGATCAAAAAGAGAACAGAAACAATTGAAGCAAAGTTGATCCCGAAAAGGAAGAAAAATAGAGGATGAAATCGTGAGATAGTGGGTAAGCGTACAAGAAGAAGAAAAAAACAAAAACCATTTCTGGAGCAAAAGCCCTAGAAGAATATTCCTTCTCTAATTATTAGGAATTTAATGCATTAAATGTCAATTATGACAATAATTTGTATAAATCTGTCAGACATAATATAAGTCTGCCGTAACTAAACGCAATCAAACCGGTTTAAACATACAAGAACCGGCAAGATTTGGAGTTTTGTTGAATTTGAGGCTAGATATTAAATCTCAAGTAACACGATATTTTGAAATTTCAAAAACAAATCTGCCAACCAAAAGTCTGTCAGCACTAAAAAGGTTATTCTAGTTAGAAACAAATCGGCCATAACATGACATGAGAAAATCTGTTATGCTTAGGGTCCAAAAAACATAACTGTCATAACTAAAAACAAATCTGTTATCACTATGCGACTGTTTAGTAATTATATTTTTTTAAAAAAATCTGCTATAAAACGCCAGATTTGTCAACAAATAATATTAATGACATTCCTGTAATATGTTTTTTCTCTACAAAGTAAAACAGGGACATAGTTGTCATAAATAGTACCCATATAACCCATATTTTTGGTATGCCATTCTAGCAATTAAACGCAAATTATGGGTCATTTTAGTAATTTTTCCTTATTTTTATTTGGGGCTTTTACGAAAATGCCACTTTTTCAATGCCACTTTTCAAAAATACCCCTTTTTAAAACCTTATAAAAAATGCTCTTAAAAATATAAGATTTACCCAAATATGTATGTAATATTATTAAAACATACACAAACTACATTTCTATGTATCTAAAATCTTATAAATACTTTATAAATACCTTATAAATGTATTTTAAATACCTTTAAAAACCTTTAAAATATCTTGTAAAATACATTTATAAGGTATTTATAAAGTATTTACTGGAATCCCCTTTTGGATCCAAGTTACTGGAATCCCTGTCCATCTTTGGACTTCAGAGCTTATTAAAAGTATTGGAGAGGATATTGGAGTAGTGGAGAAGCTGGATGTTTCTGTTACTACAGCTAGAATGCGAGTCCGAGTGAATGGTCTCCAACCACTCATCAAAACTTCCATTGTGGAATATAGGAATGGAGAAGAAATTGAGGCTGAGTTAGTCTATGAAAGATTGAAGAAGCACTGTAAGATTTGTCATCGCCTTGACCATGATGACAAGGAGTGCCCTACTACAAGAGCTTCGGTCCCTTCGCGTCCATCTTCAGCTGCCCAGAAAAGAAGGAATGATCTCCCCTCTAAAAGATCTGATGTCGTTTCTCGTCCTCCTAGAAGAGATGACCCCTCTGCTAGACCTAGGTTGGACTACTCTTCAAGAAGAAAGGAAGCTTACCACACTACTGGTAGAGAGCATTCCCATTACTCAGACAGGAACCTCAGAGGCTCCTCATACCATAGGAGGTCTCCTTCTCCTAGGCACCGGTCCTCTTACCACCACAGTTCTCGGGGCTCCCCTCCAAGGGGCAGAAGCCCTTACGATCATCGGGACTCGCGATCTAGATACTCCTCTAGATCTCCCCAGAACAGGTGTAGACGAGATGTTTCCCCAAATCTTGTTGAGAATTCTGACTGCCGTAGAGAGGCAGGGACTTCATCTCGTGTTGAAATTCAAGAGGAAGAAGTTAACTCAGAAACTCGTAGGCGCCCTAACTCAACTCAAGTCCCTGATGCAGCTTTGGAGGTTGCAATGGGAGAACTGCGTGAGGTTATGGTTCAGTATGCTAGCTGTGCCGATCCAGGAGAAAGTGCAGCTAGAAAGGAAAGAATCCGTCTCGCTGAGGCAGAAGGACAGTTTGAAGAGACTGCAGAACAGATGGTTAGAGCCAGTTTGAATCTGCCCTCAGCTGAAAATCGTAAGCAAACCTCCCCTGACTTGTCTAGCAGTCATGAGAGAATCCCAGCTGCGTTGAGGCTTGGCCCTTTGAATGCTCCTCCTCCTCTCCCTCCAAAACCCAAGAAGCGCAGCACTGCAAAGAGGAAGCCAGGAAGACCACCAGGACGTCCTACAGGTGCTTCTCAAGGTAGGAAAGCTACAATCCCCAGTCCTGCTATCCGTCCAATTGGTCGCACAAAGAAGAGAAAGCTTCTTACATCTCAGCCCTCCCCGCGCAGAAGACTGTATATGGATACTTTGGTGGGAAACCTAACTGATGTGCAGGCAGAGACTGTTAACCCACATACTTATGTGGGTGAGAGCTCTAGAGTTGCCTCACAAACCTCTCAGGGGCTTGCCTCCAATCAACCCTCTTCAGGACAGATGGATTTTCGGCTTCCATCAAACCCTGTTCCTTAAAGATAGCGAGGTGGAACTGTCAAGGGCTGGGGAATCCAATGACAGTTCGTCGTATCAGTGAGATCAATAAAGACTTTTCTCCTAATATTCTCTTCCTCATGGAAACAAAAAATCCAGAAGATGTAGTGTTTAAAGCGATTGAAGGCCTAAATTTTGTTCACAGCTCCATTGTTCCGCCTCATGGGCATGGTGGAGGTGGTCTAGCCCTCTGTTGGAAACAGGATATTGAGATTGAGATTATTTCATCTTGTGATAACTTTGTAGATGCTAAAGTTACATCTCATGGTAATGTGTTCTTTGCAACCTTTGTGTATGGTGATCCTGATCAAAGCAAAAGGAAAGCTGTGTGGGAAGAACTTAAGCTGCTGGCTGCTGGGAGAGAAACCCCCTGGTTTCTTTCGGGGGACTTCAATGAGTTGGTGGATAACTCTGAAAAGAAGGGTGGACCTCCCAGAACTGAATGGTCGTTTGTGGATTTCTGTTTTTTTCTCTCGGAGTGTGATCTTTATGACCTGCGTCACTCGGGTAATCCTTTTTCCTGGCGAGGGGTTCGTCATACTCATGTGGTCACTTGTAGGTTGGACAGAGCTTTGGGCAACAGTGCTTGGGCTGAGATGTTCCCGGATGGGAGATGTCAATACTTAAGATTTGAAGGCTCTGATCATCGGCCTCTTATCACCCACTTTACTCTGGATTTGAAGAAGAAGAAGGGGCTGTTCAGATATGATAGACGGCTCAAGGATAATGAAGAAGTGAAAACTCTAATCAAGGATACTTGGCTAGATTCAGAGAATAGTTCAGTTCAGAGCAGAATTGCAAATTGCAGAAGGGCTCTAGTGCAATGGAATAGAGAAAAGCAACGAAACAGTCAACTAGCTATTGTTAGCCTGCGTGATGATCTGGAGAAGGCAATGGTTAGCCTGGTTAATGATGAGCAGCTGCTGGTTTGTATCAATGCCTCCCTTAAAGCAGCCTATCAAGAAGAAGAAGCCTTTTGGAAGCAAAGGAGCCGTCAATTGTGGTTGTGCCTTGGAGACCAAAATTCTGGTTACTTTCATGCTACCACAAGAGGAAGGAAGGCTGTCAACAAATTCTCTGTTATTGAGGACGAGAATGGTGTTGCTGTTTTCGAGGAAGAACAGATTGCGGCTGTAATTTCTTCTTATTACCATGATCTTTTCTCCTCTCTCAGAGCTGAAGATATCAATATGGAGAGAACTGTCTTGGAAGCTCTTTCTCCCTGCATTTCTGTTGAAGTAAACCAGTCTCTTATCTCAATTCCTGGTGCTAAGGAAATACGTGATGCTGTTTTTGACATACATCCTGGCAAGGCACCTGGGCCTGATGGCTTTTCAGCCTGTTTTTTCCACTCAAATTGGGAAGCTATTGGACCTACTATTATTACAGAAATCCAAGCGTTCTTCTCTACAGGGATCATGCCTCAAAACCTGAATGAAACTCACATCCGCCTGATACCAAAGGTTCAAGGTCCTAAGAAGGTTGCAGATTATAGGCCCATTGCTTTGTGTAATGTGTACTACAAAGCCATCGCCAAGATTCTGTCTCATAGGCTGCAACCTGTCCTGAACAGTATCGTCTCTGAAACCCAGTCTGCGTTTATCCCCGGGAGAGCTATTTCAGATAATGTGTTGATCACACATGAAGTCCTGCATTTCTTGAAGAACTCGGGGGCAAAGAAACACTGCTCAATGGCTGTGAAGACTGACATGAGTAAGGCATATGATCGAGTGGAGTGGAACTTCATTGAGATGGTTTTCAAAAGGTTAGGTTTCCACCCGGTCTGGACTGGATGGATTATGCAGTGTATTTCCACTGTTTCATACTCTTTTCTAGTTAATGAGACCCCTACTGGCAGTGTGATCCCTATAAGAGGCTTAAGGCAAGGAGACCCTATCTCCCCATATGTTTTCATCTTATGTAGTGAGGTTCTTTCTGGCTTATGTAAGAGGGCTCAACTCTCTGGTCAGCTACCTGGGGTAAGAGTTGCTTTGAGGAGTCCACGGATCAATCACCTTCTCTTCGCTGACGATACCATGTTTTTCTGTAAGACTAGTGAAAGTTCTTGTCTGGCTCTGAAGCGAATCCTTGGTCTGTATGAAGCTGCCTCAGGTCAAAAAATTAACACGTCAAAGTCTTCTATCTCCTTTGCTCGCAAAACTCCTGCGGGTCAGAGACAAAGAGCAAAGCAACTACTTGGGGTGGAGAAGGATGGAGGAGTTGGTAAGTACCTAGGCCTTCCGGAGCACTTTGGGAGAAAAAAGAAAGATCTTTTTTCCTCTATTGTCGATAGAGTCAGACAAAAAGCCCTCTCTTGGTCCAACAAATTTCTCTCCAGTGCGGGTAAAATGACTCTCCTCAAAAGTGTCCTCTCAGCTATGCCCTCCTATGCTATGTCCTGCTTCCAACTACCTGTCTCACTTTGCAAGAGAATCCAATCAGCGCTTACTAGGTTTTGGTGGGACTCTAAGGCGGATAAGAAAGGCATGTGCTGGGTAGCATGGGAAAAGCTCACCAAGTCTAAACATGATGGAGGTTTAGGGCTGAGAGACTTGCAGAATTTTAATTCTGCTCTGCTTGGTAAATTGGGCTGGAGAATCTTAAAACATCCAAATTGCCTTCTGGCGCGTGTTCTTTTGGGGAAATACTGCTCCTCTACTCCGTTTGTGAAAGCCCTTTGCCCTACTAATGCCTCTCATGGATGGAGAAGTATCCTTGTAGGGCGGGACCTGCTTCGTCAAAAGCTTGGATGGGCTCTTGGAGATGGCTGCTCTATCAATATTTGGTCTGATCCTTGGCTTTCTGTTTCTCAGCCATGTCAACCAATGGGGCCTGCTCCTTTAAGGTCAAAGGATTGGCGAGTAAAGGACCTATTTGTCCAGGATTCTGTTGACTGGGATGTTCAGAAGATCCAGGCTATTTTCCCTAATACAGTGTCTGAGATTTTATCTCTTAAACCCAGCAGGTTAGGGGCAGCGGATAGGCTTGTTTGGCTTGGTAACTCTACTGGGGAGTACACTACCAAATCCGGTTACTATGTAGCTATTGCAGGGTCTGTAATCTCTACCCCAAACTCCCATACTTCTGGGGTTAATTGGAAAGCTGAAGTCTGGTCCATCAATACTGCTCCCAAAGTCAAAATGTTTCTGTGGAAAGCTTTACATGGAGCCTTGGCCACTGGACAGCAACTCGCGGAAAGGTGTATAGCAGCTAATATCTCATGTGGGAGGTGTGGGGAACAAGAATCCATTCTTCATGTCCTCTTCTCCTGCCCGTTTGCTCAGAAGGTATGGAAAATGGCTCCAGTTGTGCTGCCTCCAATCTCCTTCTATTCTCCTGCGTCTGTCAGAGAAGGATTAAAGGCTGCAATGGGATTAGTTTGTCTTCCTCCGACGGGTCTTGGGTCTGGCCCCTTAGCCCCTTGGATTTGTTGGACTCTTTGGAAGACTAGAAATCAGTTGGTCTTTAAAGATCGAGTATGGAGTGTTGAAGAATCTCTGACTAAAGCGATCACAGGTGCAAAGGATTGGTTGTCAGCTCAAACTAAGAAGCAACCTCCTATTTTGAACTCCTCGGCTGCTCCCTCCAGGAAGATTGTTTCTCCTTTGGATTTCTCTGGTATTTCCTGTAAATCAGACGGAGCCTGGCGCAAGGATCTTCAAGCTGCGGGGTTAGGCTGGACGTTCTCTGGTCCACCTGGAATCCCCCCTTATCATTCTGCACTTTGCGAGAATGTCTCTTCACCTCTTATGGCAGAAAGTTTGGCCTGCAGAGCTGCAATTATGGATGCAATTGATTCAGGAGCTACTCATCTACTTCTGGAATCCGATTGTCTACAATTGGTTGGTGCCAGTGTGTTAAATCTCTTTCAAGTTTTATTTGTCGTTATATTCCTAGGTCAGCGAATGTTGTGGCTGATACCCTTGCTAAGCACTGTCTTAGTTTGTATGGTCAGAACATTTGATGAGCATTTATATATTAATTGGGTGCACAAAAAAAAACCTTTGAAAAACCTTAAAAATCCTTTAAAATAACTTGTAAAACTTTTAAAAACAGCTTATAAAACCTTATAAATACTTGGATCGAGTCTTCAAGTAGTAGTTATAATCCATAAGTACCTTATAAACCTAATAAAACTTTATAAAAATTTCAGATTTAAAAATGGGCATTTTTTGAAAATAGACATCTAAAAAGGACATTTTAAAAAAAGACACACCAAAAGGAGTATTTTTAAAAATTTCTCTTTTTATTTTTATTATAAACATTTGAATTGATTGTTGGTATGACTTTTCACCAAATAAATGATTCGGTGGACAATCGTTTATATATCTAAGTTATCTACAGTTTACACCACTTGACGACAACATGATCATAAGACCGTATGTGTATTTTGTTGTGCCTCTTGAAGATTCAGTTCTGGCATGATACTACCCTTTTTTATGCACATTATCCGAAACTTTCATCTTTTCAAATAGTGTTTCTGCTGATTGTAGCCTACACCTTCCTTCTTTTATTTTATGTCAAATTCAAATTTTATATCAACACAAGAAGAACTAAACTAATCCAACCGTTCCAACACCGCCATTCTATTTTTTGATGAGGTGGTAGTTAATGTTCGAGTTTAAACTCATTTGTTATTTGTGTGTGTATGTTGTAACTATTCACCACAATTATTTGTTTGACTACATTTTATTTTCAGCAAACCCTGAACATAAAATCAAATAACCTTGAGAACCATTAATTTCTGAACTAATACTATTTCGCGTCGTGTTGAAATCGGTTCATTTGCATTAGTTCAGGTTTCGATTTTGAACTATTTTTGTGTTTGAGTTGAAAAAGCCGTTTCTCCAATAAATTAGCC